CTATTCGAACTTGGCTTTTAGTGCATGGAAGAATGGTCGTAGTCTGTCCGATGACCGGCTTATGAACCGATTGAGCGCAGCTGCCATGCCGGTAAGATGCTGCACTTCTTTTACTGAGTTTGGTCTTTCCAAATCCTGGATTGCCTTGATCTGGGAGGGGTCTGCTTCTATACCCCGGTTGGTCACAAGGAAGCCCAAGAATTTGCCAGATCCTACTCCGAATGCACACTTGGATGCATTGAGGCGCAACTTGTGCTTCTTTAGGATTTCAAACATCACTCCTAGGTCCTTGAGATGGTCATTCTAATCCTTTCTCTTGACCACCATGTCGTCGATGTAAGCCTCCATTGTTCTGCCTAACAATGGTTCAAACATCTTGGTAACCATTTGTTGGAATGTCGCCCCTGCGTTCTTTAGGCCAAAGGGCATGACCTTGTAACAGTACAGTCCTTTTGGAGTTGTAAAGGATGTGACCTCCTGATCTGGTTCATGCATGGCGATTTGGTGGTAGCCTCTGTATGCATCCAGAAAGCTAAGTCGGTTGTGCCCCGCCGTTAGGTCTACCAGTTGATCTATCCGTGGTAGAGGAAAGCTGTCTTTTGGACATGCCTTGTTGACTGCTTTGTAGTCGACACAGACACGCCACTTGCCATTCTTCTTTGGCACCACAGCTGTGTTGGAGATCCATCTTGGATAGTGCACCTCTCTGATTGCTCCTGCCTCCAGCAGGTTTTCTACTTCTTCCGCCACTATCTCGGCATGGTGGAGTGCCGATCTACGGGTGCGTTGAATGATTGGTGTGGCGGATGGGTGGACATTGAGTTGGTGACAGATAAAGTTGGGATCAATGCCTGGCATGTCGTATGGTGTCCAGGCAAATACTTTGATATTAGAGGTTAAAAATTCCAAGACCTCTAATCTCTCAGTGCTGGACAACGATGAACCGATCAAAAAGAACTTATCCGGGTTCTTTTCATCTATTCTTACCTCTACCAAGTCCTCCACCGCTTTTTGATCAGCCGCTTTGCCGACATCTGCGAATAGCTCATTGCTCTCAGGTTCTTCCACTGAATGAACGTATCCTTTGGCAGTGCGGCTGCCATTCACCGTGACGAAGCATTGCTTCGACATGATCTGATCTCCATAAACTTCTTCAATTACCCCGGTATCGTTGGGGAACCGTATTACTTGGTGGTAGGATGACGCCACCGATCGCATGGCATGCAGCCATGTTCTGCCCAAGATGATGTTGTAAGTGGAGGGGACCTTCAATACCCAGAACTCCACTTGTTTCGTCACGCTTCCTGCTCTAACTGAAAGAATTATTTTGCCGACGGGCCATTCTGGCATGGAGTTGAATCCGATTAGGGGAGATACGGCAGGCGCCAAGTCTTTGTCTTGTAGCTTTAATTGTTTAAATGTTTCGTAGTACATGATTTCACATGAACTACCCTGGTCAATCAGAATCCGCTTGACGTCAAAATCCTTGACTCGGAGAGTGACGACCAGGGTATCATTGTGAGGGCAATATATCCGTTCCAAGTCTTTATCCGAAAAAGACATGACATTTTTAGCCTCTGTCTTCCCCTTCTTGATGGCAGGTTGGGCACTTCGCACCTCTCTAAAGTGTTCATCCTTTTTTATTGATTCCCTGAGCTCGCATACACGCTCAGGTTCAAAGACCCCATGTATCACATTGATAATGTCTTGAGGTGGGGTGTCGACTGGCATCCCGTTGGGGTTATTATGGTCCTGGGAGGCTGGTTGCGTCCTTCCTTTAATGTATTTATCCAAGTGTCCTGCTGCCACCAACTCCTCCAGGTGCTATCTCAATGGCGTGCAATTCTCAGTGCGGTGCCCATTTTCTTTATGGAAGGTGCACCGTGATCTTTCGTCGTAGTCCTTCTGCGCTTCCCCTAGTTTGGCTGGCCATCTGACGAAAGGCTCATCTCTTATTTCACTTAGAATTCGGTAGATCTGTTTTTTGAATACCGTGGTTATGGCTGTGCGGACCCTCAACCATCTTTTATCCTGGTCCTCTCCGTTGTCTCGCCTGCCACGTCCATTTCTGTTCTGTCGATCTACTGCATTGACCTTCGCTGAGGTTTTCTTTTCTAGTACTGTGGTCGCACTAGATTTTGCTTTGGCACGTGCGCCATCCTCTTCTACCCTGATGTGCTGATGCACTTTTTCCATCAGGGCTTCCATGGTGAGGGGTGGCGTCATGGTGATCGAGTCCCTTAGTCTGTTCCCGACTGGAAGGCCTCTTTTATATTGTGCAATGGCGAGATTGGTGGGAATAAATTTGAAAAAAAAATGTTCACTAAAAACTAGGCTCTGTTTGGTAGAGCTTTGAAACGTTAGTTCCAGGTTTTGATTTGCACATCGTGTTTGTTTAAAGTTTTCAAAAATTAATTCCACTCACTTTTGAAAACTCTGTTGAAGACGAAAAAATTTGGATTAACTGCTCATTCGGCCGGTTGACTGGCACAGTGTTTTAGTATTATTATTAGTTTTTTTTTTTTTATTTTTTGCAATTGACACATGTTAA